GGTTTAGGGGGTTTAGGGGGTTCAGTGGGTTTAGGTGGTTTAGGGGGTTTAGGGGTTCAGTAGCTTTAGGGGGTTTAGGGGGGTTAGGGGAGTTACGGGGTTTAGGGTTTAGGGGGATTAGGCCTCTCTGGCCACCAAGTGCGGGCCTCTCTAGCTACCAAGTGCCCTGGCCCCCCAAGGCCATTCTACCCCTAAACCCTAAACCCCAACGCTGGTCAAAAAGAAACAATAAAATAATAATACAAGTATTACTAACAATAGTACCAATAGTAGTAATGATATAGCAATAATAGTATATAATAGTAATGATACAGTAATTATCTACTCAGCTAAGTAAAACGACGCCAGAGCACAGGTGGTGGTGCCCCCGGGGCGGATTGCTGTCCATTGCCCCTCCTCCTCAGCTTCAGGAGAGCACTATGGGACGGTGGCATTTTGAAAGGGACAGGGTTAAGGGTTTAGGTGAAAGATACCGAAGACACGTCAAAGCATTTATGGTTAGAAACGCGTTTGAAATCATTGAAACCCTGAGCCTTGCTGAACCCTCATCGGGTCTCACCACTGAACCCCACGATGCATAAGGAATCAGTCTCTCAGCTATTATCTTCTTTGCCAAGTAGAGCCGAAACTCGGAACTAAAACTCAATCCCCAAACGCCCAAACCTAAACCCTAAACCATTCACCCTAAACTAACGCCCGAAACCTCCACCCTCAATCCTAGATGATCTCTCATATTTCGCTATCTGCCCCTCCCTAAACATCACCGTATATCTCAAACTAAACCGGAGAAAAGATTTGGTAGTTTCCCAGAATAGGGGGACCCCAATATAGACCCTAATATACTATAATCCCTATTATGGGGGCCCCCAAAAAGGGACCCCTAATTTTGGGAAACCCCCATTGCAAGCAGAGCCTGGGGTCCAAGTCCTTGAGCCGACACCTGCGCATCCGCTTACGATTTGGGTTTAGGGTGTAGGTTAGGAGGACCCCCCACCCTGTAATAGTGGTATAATAGGAATATAAAAGGACCCTAATATAATCCCTATTATCCACAATAGTGACTATTACTGGGTGTTGGGTCCACCTAAGGTGTAGGGTTTAAGGGCTGAGGATTTAGGATTCAGGGTGTAGGTTCTAGGTTTTAGAATTCAGGATTCAGGGTTCGGGGCTAGGGTATAGGATTTGAGGTCCTGGGCTTAGGGTTTAGGCACTCAAGGTTCTTTGAGTGGTTTGAGCGCTCGAGGTTGAGGGTTTGAAGTAGGTTTACGGGTCATTTAGAAACTACGGTCCTTGCAACACAGGCCTATGTTGGCCTAAGTATGGGGTTCTATGTTAGGTTCGGAGAGGGTAACAGACCCTGAACCCCAAACCCCTAAACCCGGAGCCCTAGGCCCCTTAACCTGCAACATAGAAACGCCCAACCCAATACAGGCCCCTTTGCAAACATTGACTCTAACCATTGAATACGGGGCTTCAACCCTGAACCTTGAACCCTAAGTGCTGGACCCTAAAACCCAAATCCTGAGTTAAAAACCTTAACTCTCTAACCCGACGCCTCATACCCTAAGCCTAAAAACCCTCACTCCAAGACCTAAATCCCTAAACTCTAATCCCTAAATAATAGCTTCCATTTTCTTCTCCATTACGTATTCCTATATACCATATATAACCCAGTTCCACCATAACCCCATGAGCCTCAGCCGCCCACTTCCCCAAAGAAGTGTGCCTCGAAGTGGCCAGGTCGCATGTCTCGTAGCTCTCCGTGGCAGTGGTCTGGGCGAAAGGCAGCTGCTGAATGAGGCCCTATGGGTTTAGGGTCTAGGGCTTAGGGTTCTGGGTTCAGGGTTTAGCGCTTAGGGTTCAGGGCTTAGGGTCTATGGGTCATACCCATTCCCTGTTAAGCACCCGCATTCTTACTGACAATTGCTTTCGTCAGGGCTGCTGATTTCCGGATGGTGTCCTTGTTGGCTTGCTAATAAGGAACTTAAATTTGGTTTACAAGGAAACCATATGAGCTATAGTCTAAACTCCTAGTATCCCCCTCCCTCATAACCCCTATAGTAGTCCCCTATATAATACCCTATATAACATTATATAACCCCTTTAAGGGAGTTTAGACTCTGGCTCATACTATCTACATCTCCAAGGTATGGTAACTAAACTAAGCTCCGGAACAGCAACCGAGATTACACCGTAAACCCTAAACCAATTCAAAGTCTGAGGCGCCTTGAATTCCACAAAGTCCCGGACTGGCCTGATCCTCTCGTGGACCTCTGGCAGGGGAGGGCTAAGATGTTTAGGCTTTTGGGACCCAAACCCTAAGCCCTAAACCCTGAACCCAAATTTGGGATTTTGGGCTTAGGGTTCAGCACTCAGAGATTTATGGGTAAGGGATCTGAGGCTCGGGGTTGAAGCCTGAGCGCATGGGCTAGCTTAGAATCTCAGGACTTGTGAAATGTTGGTACTGTTTAGTTTGGGTACTGCCCCCCAAGTAACAGTCTATATTAGGGGTCCGATTAAGGGCTATATATAACTCTATCATATTCATTATAAAACTGTTATTGAGGGGGGGCAGTACGCAACCTTTAGTGCTAAAAAGATGCAAAGTCAACGTTGATACTCCCGGTGAACGGCATGGGCCCCACAAGCTTCTTTGATATCTCTACACATCCCAACAGTCCCTATGGGTCACAGACCCTAAAACCTGAACCCCAAACCCTAAACCTGCGCCAGAGTCCGGATGAACTTGCTGTTCCCAAAGTCTGGTACACTAAACCCTAAACCCTAAATAGTAGTTTCCATTTTACTTTCCACTATCCCTATATTACCCCAAAATACCCTAAACCCTAAACCCTAACCCCTAAACCTGTATTACCCCAAAATTTAAAGCCCCAATCTGCATCCTATGCGCTCCAAAAGAACCTAGCGCGTCACGGCCGCAGTTTCGAGGCTTATACATATGGGTGCTTGTCAAAATTATGGTACCTTTTTGGGTCCCTATTATAATACGGCACCTAATATTTGGGGTACCCAAAAAGGGACCATAATTTTGACAAGCACCCATATGTTGGGATAATGGCAAAAGAAAATGGAAACTACTGTAGCATATTGGGGTAATACTAGGGCTATATTGGGTCATATAGGGATAACGGAAAACATGGAAACTACGGTGGATACTAGAAATCCTGCATGACCCTAAGTACCTTCTACCTTTGGGAATAATGGGACTATAGTATATTAAGGTCCTGCAAGATTTTTAGTATCAACCCCTAAACCCTAAACCCTAGTACTATTTAGGGTTTAGGGTTTTGAGTTTTGGGCTTCAGGTTTCGGTCTGAGGTGTGAGCCGGCTCCAAGCTTTTGGTTCAGAGGTTTAAGGTTTAGTGTTTAGGGCTTAGGGTTTAGGGTTTAGGATTTAGGATTTAGGGTTTAGGATTTAGGGTTTAGAATTTTGGGTTTAGGATTTAGGGTTTAGGGTTGAGCATTTAGGGAACATGGCTGGGAGCTATAAGGTTCAAAGGAGCTCATCCACAACAGCACGGCATCTGTCCTAGTATCCACCTTCATAACCCCTATAGTAGTCCCATACAGCATCCCCTATACAACTTCCTTTAAGGAGTTTAAAATAAGGACACTAGGGTCCCGAGGAGCTACAGTCGAAATTTCCTACATAATACAATTTTAGGGTTTAGGGTTTAGGGTTCCTTATTAGGGACTGTATTAAGGACTGTGTTAAGGACTCCACTAAACCACCTACCACAGGGACCGCTATGTCCTCTCTTTATGGCCCCTTAATAAATAAGCCTAATACTGACAGTAGCTCAAAGGGAATTGAGGTCCTTTTTGTGAGGTCCCCAGAAGAAGTAATATGATTTACATGGTCTATAGCAGGGTCTTCCAACATACGGAAAATCACCATATATCCTAAGCCTGGAACCCTAGGCCCCGGAAACGAAAACATCTAAACTCCTCAAACCCTATACTCTAATACTGTATACTTCAGACTGAAACAAAGATGACAAGTGTGAGCATGTGCAACTCTCTGCCGCCAAAACCCTATCAAATAGATTGGGAGGCATCTTGAATGTTGTGGATGGAAAGCATCAGGGCCTCTTCAAAAGCTGCCAACGACTTTTCAAAGCAATGCAGATGGAACTTCTAGCCAGGTGCAGAAAGGTCAGGCAGGTTGTGGAGCGGCGGAACCACAGACCCAACACCAGCTATTGCATGCTCAGGCCTCTACCAGCCACATCTCCGTCGCCCGCAGCTGATCTTGCACTGCACTGCTGTCGCCACCGTTGTCAGCATCGCCCCAGGTCACCACAGATCCATCTGCAAGGATGGCTGCAAAAGCGCCCCAGCTGGCTTGAATCTGCTGCACATTCTTGAGTTGATCTTGCACTGCACTGCTGTCGCCACCGTAGTAAGCATTGCCCCAGGTCACAACGGATCCATCGGCAAGCAGGGCGGCAAAAGCGCCTTGAGTGGCTTGAATCTGCTGCACATTCTTTAGTTGATCCCGCACTGCACTGCTGTTGCCACCGTAGTCAGAAGGTCCCCAGGTCACCAAGGATCCATCTGCAAGGATGGCTGCAAAAGCGCCCCCACTGGCATGAATCTGCTGCACATTCTTGAGTTGATCTTGCACTGCACTGCTGTCACCACCGTAGCCAGAAGGTCCCCAGGTCACCACGGATCCATCTGCAAGGATGGCTGCAAAAGCCTGCTCAGAGGCTTGAATCTGCTGCACATTCTTGAGTTGATCTTGCACTGCACTGCTGTCGCCACCGTAGTCAGAAGGTCCCCAGGTCACCACGGATCCATCTGCAAGGATGGCTGCAAAAGCCTGCTCAGAGGCTTGAATCTGCTGCACATTCGTCAGTTGATCTTGCGCCGCAGTGCTGTCGCCACCCTCTCCAGCATGACCCCAAGTCACCACGGATCCATCTGCAAGGATGGCTGCAAAAGCACGGAGACTGGCTCGAATCTGCTGCACATTCGTCAGTTGATCTCGCACCGCTCTGCTGTCGCCCCCACAATAGGCATGGCCCCAGGTCACAACGGATCCATCGGCAAGCAGGGCGGCAAAAGCGTGAGAACCGGCTTGGATCTGCTGCACATTCTTCAGTTGATCTTGCACTGTACTGCTGACGCCACCGTTGGCAGCATGGCCCCAGCTCACCACAGATCCATCAGCAAGGATGGCTGCAAAAGCGTGCCAACTGGCTTGAATCTGCTGCACATTCTTGAGTTGATCTTGCACTGCACTGCTGTCGCCACCGTTGTCAGCATTGCCCCAGGTCACCACGGATCCATCTGCAAGGATGGCTGCAAAAGCAAAGACACTGGCTTGAATCTGCTGCACATTCTTTAGTTGATCTCGCACCGCACTGCTCTCGGCACCGCCGGTAGCATTGCCCCACGTCACCACAGATCTATCGCCAAGGACGACAGCGAATGCTGCGCCGGTAGCCTGTATCGTGGTGGGCTGTATTTGCATGTTCAACAAATCGCCATTGCCCAGATCACTGTCTCCGATTGTCTTTGCTTCATCCAACACTAAGCCGGTGGAGTGGACAAGCCTGCCCTTTCCAACCGACAGAACCCTTTGCGCACGTCGATTGAATTCCCAAACCTGAACATCCAGTCCAGTCTCAATCTGGACTGTCCTTCCGCTCAGCAGGCTGACATGGAGGGTAATCGACATGATGCAAACTTGGGTGGCACTTGAGTAGCCCAAGGTTTAGCGCGCAAAGGAGTCTTCAGGGCCGTCAGAGGGTTTATGGCAAGGGACGACAGCTTAGGAAGGAATCGCTACCGTCAAGGTCCTCCATAACCACCGCCTCTTTGCAGGAAAACCCTTAAGACCTCAGCCCGAGCCCTTAAATGGCACTTGGAGGTTAAGGGTAGTAATTTCAAGCTACTTATAACTGGACAAATTGCCTATTTGTAGCCAGAGTAGCGGACTAAGTTGAATATAAACGAGGCTGCAAGAATAATGATTATGTGGCAACATGCAAAAGTCATACAAGGATATTAAGGGCTTCTCAGGCCTGCAGGTACTCAAATTTCCCAGATTCACGTGTTGGCTGTCTTGGTTTTGATTACAACCCATGGGGGCGTTAAAGAGAAAGCATGCGAAGTGTACCTCCAAAGAAGCCTCTGGCTTGATGCTTAAAGGGGGTTTTATAAATGATTCTATAGGGGACTACTGTCGGGGTTGGTAAGGGGGATACTAGGAGTTTAGTTGAAGAAGAAACTCTGCAAGCCTGGAAACGCAACATGCTTCTATGCCATATCCCTGCACCATGATCTTTCCCTACACCACTTCTGCCAATACTTCCCTATATGACCTGATGAACATCTTCGTGAACCTCTTACAAGGCATTTCCCCACACAGCTATGAACCTGCTTACCCACAAAATTTCAAAGCCTAGAATAGTATCTCCGGCACCTGCCCCGGCAAGACCATCGACAGCGAGAAGCTCTGGAAGCCGAAATTGCCCGCGAAGATCAGGAGGAGGGCTACCTTCAGGGGATCAGGGCTTTGGGTTTAAGGGCCCAAAAGTTGTAGCTGTCGAAGAGGTCGTGATTTTTGCAGTAGGGCTGCTGCTACTGCTGCTGCTAGTGCTCCTGCTACTGCTGCTCGTCCTCCTCCTCCTCCTGTTGCTGCTGCTGCTGCTGCTGCTGCTGCTGCTGCTGCTGCTGCTGCTGCTGCTGCAAAGGGAATGGCATGAGGAATCATGGGATCGGCCATCCTCCTGCCGAGTGGTATGCAAGGGGCTTCTTTGCTTCCTTTTCTTGGGGGATCTTCTTTTACTTAGGCTGATGATACCAAGGCCGGTGAAACCCTCCCTTTCCATACCCCCGGAATCCCCGTGGCCACCAGCAGGCAGGTCAGCGCAATCATCGCGTAGCCCACAGTGGAGGCCTTCTTTTTCGTGGATCTTCAGATTTGGAAAGTTGATGTGGATCCATTGGAGGTCTGGCTGATCAAGGTGCTTCCCTTGACAGCTACATGGGGTTTCGAAGAGCGTGCATTTGGTTTGAGGATGTTTGAGGCTTTGCAGACGCAAGGAGCTTAAACCCTAAACCCTAAACCCTAAATCCTAAACCCTGCCCAAACTACGATGGTAATCTTCAAAGGAGGCCCTGCAGCGACGAGTGTCCTCTTAACAAGTGCCTACGCGGGTTTCTATGTTCGTCTGGGGGAGGGTAAATAAGACTCAGCTGGGGTTGGGGTTCAGGGCTTAGGGCTTAGGGTTTAGGGTTTAGGGTTTAGGGTTTAGGGTTAGTTAAATAAGTGGCATCGGATCTTCGTGTACATAGATAGGGAGACCCCAATGTAGATCCCAAAAAGAGCCCCATGCCTGTTGCAGGGTCTCCAAATTACTTTGTAGGATGATGTGAATTCAGTCTGAGTCCTGCGTAGTCGCTGTTGGGTGGGAGTATGATAGGCCTGACAAACCACATAAAACCACCCATGAAGCATCACAGTAGTCGGAGGTGGCTCACTTGCAAAACGCAGACACTGTCCTGGGTTGTTGCCCAAGCTAATCTAATAACTTAATACTACGCCCTACCCCCAACATTAAAGATGTCCCCCATATGTATGTGGTCTCTCATGAGGAATATTTGAGACATTAGGGGTAGGGGAGCGTTTAGTACTAGTATGAGGGGATCAGTCCCCGTTCAGAATACCACGGATCATACTTGCAGTCTGCCCTAGTTTTTTCGACACTTATATACTGGTGCTTAGTAGGGAATCAGGAAATATAATCCGTATATAATCATATGTAATATATTCCCATATTTCCTATATACTTGCCACCAGCAAGCACTATTCAATAATAAAGTGTTTTGCAGCCTTCTCGGCACGGGAACCGCTGCTGAGATAAACGAAGACCTGAAGCAGGGACTTGGGCATTGGGCTGCTGGGCTCTGGAGCGTTGAGACCCCTTCTGGTTTTCAAAGATCAGAGAGGCTATTGGCCCAAAGTGATACGAGGGAGTTGAGAGTTTGGGTCTTAGAGGGTCACTGGCTTGAGGTGCCAGATTGGGGCTCGGATAGTTCAAGACGTGCATGGGGAGAGGAATGTTCTGGACAAGGCGACGACATGCTAGAACCCATACCCCAAACCCTAAACTCTGAAACCTAAACCCTCAGTTGTTACCACAAACACTAAACCCTGAACCCTAAATACCTTCAAATGCCATAAGAAGCCTTGAACCTGGCTGAAATTGGGGTCACGGCCCCCAATTTGGTAAAGGATGCAGTCTACTTGTGGAACAGGCATGGATCCCTCAAATCACTGGGTTTTAGGGCTTCGGGCCTAGGGTTCCAGACATATGAGCCACTGTCTAAACTCCTGGTATCCCCCTCAATAACCCTTCTAGTAGTCCCTTATAATCCCCTATATAACCCCCTTTAAGGAGTTTAGACTATAGCTCATATGAAAATTGAAATCC